ATCCAAGGGGTGGCCGATTTTTGGAAGGTTTACACGAAGGTAACTGCCACGAAGACAAGTGTCAAATCACCCTATTACTGGTATAGTGGCAAAGCCAGACACATCAAATCGTATAAATGAAAGCAGTTGAGGTATAAACCGACTGTGCCGACCAAATATGACGATGTGATCGGAAGTTGTGAATTGCAAGACACCAAATATAAGAATATTCATCTTAAATCATGAAAGGATATATCTGTGACAGTCTTTGTATATCGGTCACCCCGTGCGTGAGTGAGAAGGCGACGAATGGGCCAAACTAGCTGAGATAGCACAAGACTATTAGGCCGCCTGGCTATGATAGAGGTTGCCTTGGGTTCGCCATCTTCAAAGGAGAAGCTTAAAAAAGCCGAAACCGGGCTCGGCCCAGAGATATGGACAACCAGGAGCAATAGGGCAGGCACGAAAGCGTAGTGTAGACAATGAGTCATACGGTCATCTAAGCATTTCTCTCATTCCCGCTTCACATTTGGCGCACTAATGCTATGGAAAGAGAGAGTGAGAGAGAGAGACTGCCCAAGCGTTGCAGCCTGCAAATATTGGTTAGGCTCTTCAGTAGGCTCTCGTCTGCCCAACCAGATTGTTGTCTCTGTTGATGTCCATTGGCAAAAGAGCTACGGTGTATAAAGAGAACACCCTGCCCCGGACTCCTTCAGCAGTCCATTTGCTTGCTATGCCGAGCCGTCTCTTATAGGCATCCTCTGGCGGTTATGTAGGGCTTAGCTGTTCGTCGTAAAGGGTAAAAATTCGAACTTCACTGTTGTAGAGTTCCATTTGGCAAAACAATCTGCCTTCGCAAGATTAAGTCATATAAGAATGATAAGTAAGGATTAAAAATAGGAAACAAGTCAAATGTCAGTAACGCAAGCTTTTTCATGTTGTATGCCCCATTAGTATACGAAACAGCGTGATCTTCAACCAGGAGCCGTATTTTTGTCGCACCCTTGTCTTAACTAAAATTTTGCGTCACCGTTTAGAAGCAGGCTTCACGAACGTTCACATACTTCAATGGTACGAGCTTCTTGATGAACCAACTACCGATTGGTTTGCAAGGGTTAAGTGTCCAGAAAATGATAAGAGGACAAAACATTAGTCCATCGTTTAAATGTTCAGACACTTTGCCTCTGACTAGCATGACAGCACAACTTATGGCTAGTAGGATACCAAGTCAATAAAGAGCAGTTAAAAATTATTGGTTGCTGCAGCGGTCGTTCGCCCCTGAAATTATTCACAAGATTAATCGTCAACCCAATAGCAATATGTGTACGAAATACAAAGCAGTACAGGTGCCACTTACAAGCATATGCACAGAGTAAAAAAATCAAATGAATGCCAAAATATGATATAAGGTCGTGAATGGGAAGGGAAAGTGATGTAATCTTAAAGATCTAATTCTTGAGACTAGCAAAAGCATATAAGAAGAGCTGTCAGCTTTTGAATGCATTTATTAATGTTAACTGATGCTATGAATGTATACATAAGGCCTATATGCATATAATGTAAGAAAGAAGCAATATAATCGGATCGATAAAATGGAGGTTGAGATCCATAGCAAATAAAATGGCCACGAGCCTGAGTTACTGTGGGAAGCATAGCCATAAAGGAAAACTTCCGTCTTATGCATTCATGTGGACGAAGCATTTGATATAGACAAAATGGACCAAGGCAACCCATTGTCATTGCGATTCAATAAATTAGTTATTGGTATGGAGAGACGCTGCCGATGATAGTACGCCCGTACACTAAGTTAAAATACGATAGTCTATAGAATAGAATAATAAAGAAAGCTCAGTATGACAAAAAGCAGTAGAGTATGTATGCCGAACAATATTCCTAGTTAGCTGGAAGAGCATGAACGACTATTATCCATAAACTTGACCAAAACAAGGAGCATAATCCATATTCTACCTCAAACAGAGGTAGGCTCACCAAATACACTAAGTATGTGGATGATATATCATATCTAAAGTGATTACCAAGACAATTGGGAAATAGGCATGGATTTACCTGCGACAAGCGTATTTACTAATATTACATAGGCAAGGTGTTGTACCTAATCAAAATCAATTACCTTTTGACTCAGCTCTATAGCTGATATAAAAACATAGATTGATAGGAACCCAAATTAAATAGATGCAAAATTACATTTTTGGCACATAAGGAAACCAAGAAAGCCAGCAGCAGAGCAAGCCTAATCATTAGGAGACTGGAGCATCTTACAAAGTAGGCCATATACATGATTGAATAATAATTTATATAAAAAGAAAGAATATATGAATTATCTGAAGCATGATGATAATAATAATGGAATTGAATTTATGGTACGAGGAGATAAAGAATATGCTGTATAATGGATGCTCAAAGACTTGTCAGCAGCAATGTCAAAAATTAAAAATGAATATGAATTGATACAAGAGGTCAAAAACACTCTTATTCAATATGGTCATATAAAATGCTCCTATAAGGGAACCAATAAAACTAATAAAGTCAAGAAGCATCGAAGCAAGCCTACTCATATTTAGAGTGGAGAGCTTTCGAGACTATGACCTAGATCAAGCAAGGGAGCATAAATTGCAACACAATTCAGGATTAGTCTTATGAGTGTCAGAAAGCAATCAATATCAGTAAATTTAGTATGGCATACTCATAATACGCACGTAAGAAGAGTTAATAAGCCTTCGTTTTTCCGTATACGTCTAATCGTTAATGATTCATAGTATCGAGCCCTAAAACGATGTGATAAATATAAAACCTCAGAAGATGAGGCTCAATAATAGCATTCTGACAAAGTTTTGGTGAAATGTATTGAAGAATGAAGAAAATACGAACAGTATCTCAATAAGAGACGAGCAGAGGGCTGAACTACATAGCAAACAAAATCCAAATAAATAAGAGCTTAAATGTGAATTTAACTCGAGTTGAATTTAAGCAATTTTAATTCAATCGTCTTAGCCTCAAACAACATTAGCAAAAACTCACTGAGACAAGAGCATCTTGCAATTTAGGTCATACTCAGACTTTCTATGAAGACAAAGAATATGAAAAGTCTGGAGGAGGATGACAATAATAAAGTGGAATTGAGATTATGGATTCAGAGCTGAAGAATATACTGCATAATTAATGGACGAAAACTCGTCGCTATCAATATTAAAAATTTTAAAATGAATATGAGTTGAAATAACAAAGGTAGAAAAAACTCGCCCTAAGATCCTCCTTAAATTATATCATAAATGCATACTCTCACGTTTATGTATGCTACTGTCCGTAAATTTACAGATAATTCCAACAAAGGTAAGATTATTGGCAGTGATAATGTATCACAATTTCGACGCCATCAAAAAACTTACAACTATAACCAAACGCCAAACAGGTCATCCTTAAACCTAAACATGCATTAATAAAGTTGATTTAAGATTTATATCCATAGATAGTAAAATAAAATTGAAAGCAATGCATTTTTACTGTATACGCAAGTATGCATTATACATGAGAGTGAAATCCAGGCAAGTCGACTTACGGTATTTCTCAACCTGCTGAATAAGATTACTTGATACATCTCGACGTCTGAAGTAACACGCAACCTTGGCCTCTACAGCACCAGTGGGCGTCTATGGGAGCAAAGACAGTAGAATTAAAAAATTATACAACGGAGAGAAATAAATGCAGTCTATGAAATAAAATAACGTAAAAAGGATGAATATATTTTATTTGAAATTGAATAAAAGGAAATGTCATGGATAAAAGTCATAAGCAAACCTTATTAAGCTCATCTATCCGTCTAATTTGGTAGGGGGCGGTCGCAGAAGCTTCGAAATATACAAAATCTGTTTGTTTTAAAAAATAAGAGTTGATTCATGAGAAACTAAGGGAAATGGTAAGAGAACATATATACATTAATGTAAATCATATCATTGTCTATGTAAGTAAAGTTTGTAAATACTTAATGAACTAAGTGATAAATACTATCGAGTTTACATAAAATGTATCAATCTCATCTTTACAGCGAAATAGAGATAGAGAAAAAAAAATAAGGCAGGCAAGTATTTGCAGCCATATATGGTTTCATGATCAGATGAGACTTGTGAAAAATTGAGCACTGCGGAACCAAGTACCTTTGCGAACCTCCCAACTAAAAACGAAGGGAAGGAGCCAAAATCTTAGATAAGAGTCTACAATTATAAATATTCTATTCTTTAATACTATATGATGTTTAATTTCATGATAAACAACGCTAGACATTAAAAATATCATAGGAATAAGAGGAGGTTCGTAAAGGTACATAGGGCACAACTAAAAAACGCGCGTATTAAACTGAATTAGAAATCCATAGGACGACGCACAATTCAACTGGTTAGCTAGTCAATCAGTCACATTCTGAGCACTAACATGAGCCCCGATCACCTCGTTTAATATGCATTCATCGACGGCTTGTCAACCGGCCGCCATTTTGTTTTCTGTTCAACTGACAAATTGAGGCATTTCTGGGCGAGCATCACTTACCTCCAACTCTATACATATTATTCGAAGCCATATCCGCGCAGTGAGAAGAGGAGGCCTCTTGTCGGTTGAGCCGAGTAAGCTGCCCGGAAAACGGCGCCTGGAGGAACGGGAGCAAGTCTCGTCGACGAGGAAGATGTCGACGTCCTGGAGGGGATAATTCGAGCTGTTGTGTGTGTGTATGTACACGAAATTTGCGTGTATGTGTGTTTATGTATTTATATGTGTGTATGTGTATATGTGTATTGTGAGTAGGCAGTAGGAGGATACCAACGGGATCAAAATCAATCGGCGCGGCTAAAAGGCGTTGGGTTCGAGGCCGGCTGAATCGGTCGATTCAGGCAGGCCGCGTAGACGCGCACACACTGCCCCTACGTAGACGCTGAAAGTCCGACGATTCCGGGTCCGTCAGTGTGTTGTGTGTTGTCTGTTGTGTTTTGCTTTGTGCGCGCGCATGCACGCGCATGCTGCCTTCACCGCCTGAACATCTCTCTCGCCCTCTCTCTCTATCTCTCTCTCTCTCTTTCATTCTCTCTCTCGCACCCTGTCTGACTATCCCTCCACAAGCGCGTACCTACGCATATGACTACCAGCGCAGATACGCAAGAGCCTCAGTCGTCCTGCTGGTCGAGTATTGGGACTGTCTGTGTGTGTATACGTGTGTGTATGTTGGCGAAGTGGAAAGCAGAACGGGGGGCAACTTGCGCGCTTGCCTATGTCTGCGTATGTGTGTATGTGTGTGTGTGTGTCTGTGTACATTTGCTTGTACGCAATGCATACGCCAAGTCCCGCGTACGCCCGCATGCTCGCGAGGAGGCCAGCCGATGGATAGCTAGACGGCCCAGCTATGCATCGGCCCGGTCTTGCAGTTGAGCCACGAGTCCGCCAGTCGTGCGCGGCCCACTGACGCCACGGCCGAGGCTGCTTCACCATCCGAGCCGCCTGTTTCAGTCCGCGAGACGTGCCTTTTTGTCTGCGTCGAAGGGCCTCTGCCGTTGCGTTCGGTCGACGGCTCGCCGTCCGGCGCCGCCGCCGCAAACTCGACGTCGCCGCCGCCGCGGCCGCCGCTTACAAACACGCCGGCCAAGTTGGGTATCCTTTTCAAGCCCTGCCTCAGCCGGTTCCGGCCGTGCCGAGGCCGCGGTCGGTCGGCCTGCCGCCTGGCCGCTCTCTCTCTCTCTCTCTCTCTCTCTCTCTCTTTAACTTTCTCCTCTTTCCTGCCGCCTTCTTGCTGTGTACGGCCAGGCGAGGCTCGAGCTCTCGAGTGCTAGTTCTGCTCGCCGGAGGCGGCGCTGAGTCAGCGGCCTCGTTTCGCGCTCGACTCGTGATCGGCGATTTT